CTCACCGAGTTGCCCAGGCGGGTCTCGAACCCACGGGCTCAGGCAATCCACTCACCTCAGCCTCCCCAGGGATGGGATTACAGGCTGAGCCATGGAGCCCAGCTTTTTTTTTTTAGAGACAGGATCTTGCTGTTGCCCAGGCTGGAAAACAGTGGCATAATCCTAGCTTACTGCGGCCTTAAACTCCTAGGCTCAAGTGATCCTCCCACCTCAGCCTCCAGGATAGGGCGAATACTACAGGTGTGCACCACCATGTCTGCCTAATTTTTTTTTTTCTTCCAGTAGGGGGTCTCACTGTGTCTCCCAGGCTGGAGTGCAGTCACTGCAACCTTGACCTGCTGGGCTCAGGTGATCCTTCCACCTCAGCCTTCCAAGTAGTTGGAACCACCGGCACATACCATGCCCAGCTAATTTTTTAATTTATAGTAGAGACAAGGTCTCGCCAAGTTGCCCAGGCTGGTCTTGAATCCCCGGGACCCAAGCAATGCTCTTGCCTCCACCTCCCAAAGTGCTGGAATTGCAGGCGTGAGCCACCACACCCAGCTAACCTGCCTAATTTTTGACTGGGTCTCACTGTGTTGCCAAAATGACCTCGAATTCCTAGTGTTAATTGATCCACCTTGGCCTCCCAAAGTCATTGGCATAGGCATGAGCCACTGTTTGAGCCTTCTTGAAACATAGACTCAGGTGGATTCAAGGTTCGTGAATAACTAAAACAGAAATTCTGAGGGTTTCAGAAACTCCTACCAGGAACCTGGGACAAAAACCAAGCAAATTCTTTTGTATACAAGAAGTATGGACTAAGAGCCGGGCCCTCTGCTGGATCCTGGGGGTTCTATGACCTGGGGCTGCCCTCAGGGAGCCCAGTGATTCACACAGATCCCTTAGGCCCCAGGATGGACTCAGGGAGCCTATGATAGTGGTTGGTGCCAGGGAAGGCACCCCAAGGAAGTCAGAGTGGAGATTTGGAGGAGGAGGAGTGAGCCAGGGCAGGATGTGCAGGTGTTCTGAGCAGAAGGACCCACAGGGACAGCAGGCAAGGGTGTCTGCCTGCAGGAGCCCTGGGCTAATGGTGGGCCAGGCCTCTGATTCCTTAGCCTGGAGGGCTGCCACAGCCCCGTAAAGGAGGATCCTGATTTAGGACTGAAGAAGCCAGCGTATGGCGAGTGAAATGGCTCTGTAAGGTCACAAGGGGAGGAAGGGCAGAGCCAGTGCTTGAAGTGGGTGCTGTGGTGCAGGCGTTTGACCCCAACACAGCCTGAGAGCTGCACACCAGGACCTGGTGTGACTTCTATTATGCAAGAACAGCACAGGCCTGAACTACAGCAGGATGGCTTTCTTCACACCAGCAGCTCCTGGCTATTCACTCCTTCAGCAGCCATCTCCCTTCACTCCTTCAGGTGCCACTGCTCGCTTGAGTCTGTCAGAGTCAGCCCATAGGTCTTGCCCTCAGAGTCTGTTCTACTTAGTTAAATAGGTAAAATATGTGCCGGGCATGGTGGTGCATGCCTGTTGTCCCAGCTACTTCGGGAGGCTCGTGGTGAGAGGATCGCTTGAGCCCGGGAGCTCAAGACCTGCCTGGGTGACAGCAAGACACAATCTCAAAATAATAATAATAATAATAATAGTAATGAACAAGTAGAGCATGTAGTGTGGCAGGTAGTGATGAATGTTGTGGAGAAGACTGAGAAGGCCAGAGAGCAGGCTGTCAGGTGGGTCAGGGGTTCTTGACAAACCAAGTAGTCAGGGAAGCATCAGAGTTTGCTTACACTGCCGTGACACAGTCCCATGGACTGAATGGCTTAAACAGAACTCCATGTTCTGGAGGCCAGAAGGCTGAGAGCAGGATGTCCCAGGTGGGGTTCTTCCAAGGGCACTGTGAAGGACTCAGTCCTGGACCTCTTTCCGAGCTACTGGTGGTGGCTGGCAGCCTTTGGTGTTCCTGGGCTAGTAGCGGAACCACCCACCTCTGCCTTCGCCATCACATGGCGTGCTTCCTGCCCACCTGCCTGGGTTCAAATTCCCCCTTCCTTTTTTTCTTTTTGTGTCTAAGTCTTATTCCATTTCTCAGGCTATTCTTCCACCTCAGCCTTCCAAGTAGCTGGCATTACAGGTGTGTACCACCACGCCTGGCTAATATTTTACGTTATTGTAGAGATGAGATCTCACTGAGTTGCCCAAGCTGGCCTGGAACCCCTGGGCTCTGGCAAACCTCTCACCTCTGCCTCCCAAAGTGCTGGGATTACAGGTATGAACCACCATGCCCGGCACAATTTCCCCTTTTTATAAGGACACCCATCACATTGGATCAGGGTCCCTCCCTATTCCAGTGTGACTTCTTTTTTTTTATAATCGATATTTTTTATTATGATATTGTGGGGTACAGTTAAGGGTTAGGTATACAAATATGCTTCGTTCAGGCACCCTTGTTGATAAGAGGTGTCTTCCCGCCCCCAGACAAATGTTTACTACCGTTAATCCCATCTCTCTTCCCCCCCCATAGTGTCCCACCACTGTCAGTCATTTTCTTATACTATTACGTTGGATGTTCAAGGTCCACTATATGAGTGAGAACATGTGATACTCAGATCTTTGTTTCTCTCAGAGGTCACTAAGTATTATAGACTCTATAATCCAGGTTGCTGCGAAATTCATGATTTTGTTCTTTTTTATGGCTGCATAGTATTCCATTGTGTATATGTACCACATTTTTTAAATCCAGTCCTCTTTGGTGGGCAGCATGGTTGCTTCCAGGTTTTTGCTATTGTGAACAATGCTGCGATAAACATTCGTGTGCAGGTATCTTTTTGATAGAGTGATTTGAGTTGATTCTTCAGGGTATATTCCGTGACTTCTTAACCTAATTACATCTACAACAACTCTGTTCAAATCAGGTCACATTTTGAGGTCCCAGGGGATTAGGACCTCAATGTATGAATTTGGGTGGAGGGGGAGCCCCTTACAGAGTTGAATCCCTCACAGAAATATGACTCAAGAAACATTTTTACTGCACTAAGTGTGGTGGCTCATGACAGTAATCTCAGTACTTAAGGAGGCGGAGACAAGAAGAATCAGGATCTTCCTTTACCAGGCTGTGGCAGCCCTCCAGGCTAAGGAATCAGAGGCCTGGCCCACCATCAACCCAGGGCTCCTGCAGGCAGAAGCCCAGGAATTCAAGACCAGTCTGGGTAACATAGCAAGACCTCATCTCTACAAAAAAATTAAAAAATTAGCTAGGCATGGTGGTGTACACCTGTAGTCCCAACTACTCAGGAGGCTGAGGGGAAAGGATTGCCTGAGCCCAGGAGGTCAAGGCTGCAGTGAACCATGATCATGCCATTGCACTCAAGCCTAGGTGACAGAGTGAGACTCTGACTCAAAACATTTTTTTAAAAGAGGCAGTGTGAAAAATCCCTGATTGAGGCCAAAGAACAAGTGATGCTGAGAGCTTAAACAGGGTTCCAGGCCAAAGTACCACAGAGCTACATCCCAAAGACACCCACTAGGTCAGTGTGCCCCCACCATGTGCCAACTGCTGTGGTTCTGATCTGATTGAACTTGATAGTGGCTGGAGAGAAGAGGAAAACAAAGTTACCATGGTCTTTGAAGACCACTGCTGTTAAAGGCTTTTCCCAGCATTGGGCTCTAAGGTGTGTCCCCTGGGATGCCATTGGGGATGGTAAGAAGTCAGTGCCGGGCCCCAATCCACTCTGCTGGCACTGGGGTTGTACTCTGGGAGTGTCTTTCCTGTTGTATCCTTAATTAAAAGCTAAGGGCAAGCCAGGCTCGGTGGCTCAGCCTGTAATCCCGCGCCTTTGGGAGGCTGAGGTGAGTGTATTGCCTGACCCCACAGGTTCGAGACCCGCTTGGGCAGCAAGACTTCATCTCTACAATAAATCAAAAAATCAGCCGGGCGTGGTAGCGCATGCCTGTAATTCCGGCTACTCGGAAGACTGAGGCGGAAGGATTGCCGGAGCCCAGCAGGCGAGGCTGCGGTGGCCGGGAGTGGCCACTGCACTCCAGTCTGGGCGACTGAGTGAGACTCCAACTCAAAAAAAAAAAGCTTGGGCAGACCTCAGTGCTGCCTGATCCAGATGGGTTTGCAAGGGGTGAAGGCAAAGTGGCCCTGGGAGGCAGCTCCCCACTGGCCCAGCCTGATCTAGGAAAACATAGAATCACTAGTGTCCCTGAGGGGTCAGGGAGGGCCACCTTCCTCCTTCAATGATCCTGCCCAAAACACAGCAGCGCCTCACACTGGGGCTTTTGGTCAAATTGGATAGCAAATGGTCAGGGGGGCTGCCCTCTGGCAACAGTTGAGTGTGGTGTTCTGTGGGGGTTGACAATCAACCCAAACATGGAGGGGAGGCCGGAGCCCAGGTGGCCTCTCTTTCTGGGGACAGTGCTGCCAGCCTTGACCCAAATCATGCATAACCAGGGTCTCCTGTCCCACAGGCTGGCTGACGGACTCCATGCCCTGTGTTGTCCCGCTCTTCGTGTGGAGTTAGACTCCAGCCACTCCCCTCAGCCCCTCCATGGCCCTCCCTCTCCTGCTGGACCACATGCTTCTTCTCTGGAACATGATAGGTGCTCCTCCCATTGGTTGTGTGTTCTCGGCATACGATCCGCTTGGTGACACCTGAGAGGTGGGGTGGTTGCTGCCTGCCTCATGCTCTCAGTCTTGTCTCATCAGTCTGTGCCCCTCTCTCTCAGAACATTCTTCCACACAGTTGAGTCCCCCCTCTGGAGCACGTGGCTCTTTTTCTCCTCCGTGTCCCAGCCCCTGACATGGCTATGAGTCCTAGCCTGCCAGGCTGCCCCTTTGCAGGCAGCTGCTTCTCCTCCTCTGGGGCCACTGTGGTCCTGTCCCTCCTTCTGGACTGCACAGACTATTATGTGGAATCCACACAGCTATTAGCCCCGATCTGGAAAAGCACCGAGGCCTTTTCTCCCATCGGCCTCCGGGGCTCCCTGGGCTCTCCTGGCCACCTCCACACGTGTATGTTGTTCTGTCCTGTCTGTCACTGAGAAAGCTCTTTTCAGGCTTTCTTTGATCTCTCACAATATAAGCCCCAGAGACGTTAAGTCATTTAATAGTGAACACTTGAGTAGACTAGAATCCAAACTCAGGGTTTCCCGGAGCTCACGGGCCCCATCTGGGCTTCCATGGCAAGTGAGCTCATGGGCAGGGGGTGTCGTGTGTACTCGCAGCAGCTCCCAGCTCTCCTCCTGCTGCACCACAGGCTTTGACGGTGGGGGCCAGGTCCTGTCCCCAGCACTGACTCATTGGCACGTCAGAAAGGTTGTAAGGGCATGGCAGGAGAACAGGATCCTGGCCCTGCCCCCCACCACCTTGGGCCCTCAGTCTTTCAGTTTGTGAAGTAGGAATGTATCCACCTCCTGGGGATGGTGAGGATCGAGGAGGAAGTGCAGCAGGGGGATCCTGGCACATGGCCTGTCCTGCAGGGAGCTACCATCACGTGTGCAAGTGACAGGAGGCATTGTTCTGTGTGTGATTTACCACACAGCGCTGGCTTTTCCTAACCCCCAAACTGAGCACCCTCCCCTGATGCTTCAGCCGCATACTTGCCCTGATCCCAGAAAGCGGTTGTGTTTTCAAGGTGTCATATGCGCGCCCAAGCTCAGAGGTCATCAAAGATGCCAACTTGTACATCAGCGGGCTCCCACGGACCATGACCCAGAAGGACGTGGAGGACATGTTCTCTCGGTTTGGACGGATCATCAACTCCCGAGTCCTTGTGGATCAGACCACAGGTACAGCAGGGGCCCAGAGCATGCAGGGAGAGCTTCTTTTAGGCCGAGGGCTGGGTTTTCTAGGGACGGTGGGTCACTGTTGGGTTTGTAGATTTCATTAGTTATTCTGTTAGCAAGGACAGCATCGCAGTGAGAAGACATTGTCTTTCATTTGATGAAGCTGAGGAGGTAAAATGGCATTAAGAGAAGCCCTGGAATTAGGCCAGTGTTTCATTTGTAGTGAAGATACCAAGAAATTCTGGCACCTTCTCTTAAGTACCTGAATGTGCCTGCCTTGCCTGTGGACTCGTGCCTGTAATCCCAGCTACTCTGGATGCCAGGAGGATTGCCTGAGCCCAGGAATTTGAAACCAGCCTGGGCAACTTAGCAAGACCCCATCCCCTAACAAATTTTTTTTTAAATCAGCCAAGTGTGGTGGTGCAGGCCTGTAGCCCCAGCTCCTTGGCATCTGAGGTGGGATGGTCATCTGAGCCTAGGAGTTCAAGGCTGCAGTGAACTATGATTGTACTACTGCACTCCAGCCTGGGCCTCAGAAGGAGAAAAAAAAAAGCCACTGCTCAGTTATCTGCAGTTCTCATTGCAGGCAGGTGAGTGTGGCAGTCTTTCTCTTGGCGTCATCATCCTGGAGCTGTAGGTCTGGCAGTCTCTGATGAGCCCTTCCTCGGTCTCTCAGATCTGGATGCCCCTCCCTGAGTAGCACAAAGCACGCAGAACCTTTCCTGGTGGGCACCTCGCTGGCCTCCCAGGCCGTCTCGCATTGGGCTTGGGCTCTGGGCTCTGCTTGATGCCTCCAGGCAGAGATAAGCTGGGGACACATACACCTGGTTTGGGTTCCAACCCCACTGTCCGGCCCACCTACCCTGCTAGATGAGGGACTGGGACCAGCCCTTTCGCTCCCAGGTCCTGTGTGTGGCCCCGTCTGGGGAACAGAGAGTTCTGACTGCCCCTGAGGGAGGCTTGGGTTCCTCGGCTCTGTTCCCAGCAGGGACAGGATTGTGCTGACCAACCAGGAGGGAAGGTTTTCTCCAGAGCCCAGCGAGTCCCATTGGTTGTCTGCAGTTGAGTTCTGTGTTCTTGCCACATCGGCTGTGTGCCCAACCCACCTGGCTGTGGGATTAAAATACACCGGGTAGTTGGGCAACAGGAAATCAGTGCTCTTGGGTGACCTCTCTTTTGGGACCTGCAGCACTTCTTAGGACACACAGACCTGTGTGAGCTTTGCCCTTCATCCGCACAGCTGGGGCCTTCCTGGCCTGTGATGGAGGGGGCTGGAGGGGCATGCACCTTGTCCTGCATCCCCTGAGTCATGTTCATTGGGGTGAGCAGCCTTGTGAGTGGTTCCCCCTCCTCCCAGCAGCTGTGGGAGCCCTGCCTGGTGTGCATTGGCCCTGCTATTGCAGGGCTGCAGTCCTGGCTGGGCGCCACCTACAGCCTAGTGTAGACATGAACTCCGGCAGCAGGCTGTGCTGGAGACGTGGAATCACACTCACGGCCTCCCCTATTCTGCTTTCGCTCTGGGGAGAGGATGGGGGGATGCTGTTACTTGGTATAAACCCCCAAGTCTGTGCCAGAATAGTTTTCTGTGGTTCCTGAAGTCCCCGCACTTGACTTGATTTTTTGTTTTGTTTTTGTTTTTTTTTTTTGAGTCAGAGTTTCACTCTCACCCAGGCTGGAGTGCAGTGTGGCACACTCACGGCTACTACAGCCTCGACCTCCTGGGCTCAGGTGATCCTTCCACCTCAACCTTCAAAGTAGCTGGAACCATAGGCGCGTGCCACCACGCCCAGCTAGTTTTTTGATTTATTATTGAGACGAGATTTCACCAAGTTGCCCAGGCTGGTCTCAAACCCCTGGGGCAGTCTCTTACCTCCGCCTCCCAAAGTGCTGGGATTGCAGATATAAGCCACAACACTAGGTCTGAAGACCCATCGCTTGCCTTCGATTGCCAATTGAGAGGGAGAACAGTCAGTCATTGGGCCAGTGCATGTTTCCCCAACCTGCACAGGGGCATCTGGGGAGTCTGACACACATTCCACTCCCAGGCCTTCCTCTTCTAGATTCCACATAGATCTAGCCTCAGCCTGTGTCCAGCCATAGAAATGTTTTTTTTAACTTTCTCAGCTGAATGCCTCCCAGCTCTGAAAACACACCCCCAGCTACCTACTTTCCTGGGACTCTCCTTAGTCTCCCAGGCGCGCACAGACCCACCAGGCCAAGGGAAGTTACTCCTGCAGACAGCTTCCTTCTTTCAATTGCTGAGGACTTTGCTTCCTTTTCCTCTGCAAGAGTAATATCTCCCAGGGTGTTGAGGCCACCTCAGTGTTGCCCCCGGGGAGCAGAACTGGAGAGGAGGAAGGTGAGCCCCCCACGCCAGGGCCATGGCTCCCTCTGCTGGGGACAGAAGTTGCTAGTTGCTGAGCCCTTGTGAGGCCTGAGGCAGGCAGGGAGTGGAGGCCTGCGGCAGGTAGGTTTGTGTGGAGTTTGCCTTGTAGGACGTGCTTTTTAGTGTTAAAGAAACGATGGCGTTCTCTTGAGAAGTCTTCACATCCTGTGCCAACAGGTGCTCATTTCTTTGTTCTTTATCTGTCTTAATTGTGGACGTTATAGTTTACTCATGTGGGGAGTGCCATTTCTTGGTCTCTGCTCTTAATTCTGAAAAATGGCACGAACCCCCCTACCCAGGGTACAGAACTATCTTTTAAAAAGTTCACATTCGGCTGGGTGTGGTGGCTCAAACCTGTAATCCCAGTATTTTGGGAGCCCAAAGTGAGAGGATTGCCTGAGTCCATGGGTTTGAGACCAGGCTGGGCAACTTGGCAAGACCTCACCTCTACAATAAATCAAAAAATTAGCCGGGCATGGTAGCGTGCGCCTGCAGTTTTGGTTACTGGGAAGACTGAGGCGGAAGGATCGCCTGAGTCCAGCAGGTCGATGCTGGGGTGGCCATGAGTGTACCACTGCACTTCAACCTAGGCGACGGAGTGAGACTCCTACTCAAAAAAACAAAAAAAGTTCACATTCATCGAGTAACATGTGAATTTCTCTTTCCTCATGTTAAATAGCACGCTCCTTCTCTCCCTCAGGCAGTTTTCATTCAAAAGCCATTCTGCATACCAGCCAGGGCCCACATGCGTGTGACTTTCTCTGTGCTTGGCCAGAGGTCTGAAAACAGTATTAGACCATCCTCTCGAGGCCCCTCTGTGGGGCAGCGGCTCTTGCTTTCCGCCAGGTTCGCTTGGTTAGGTCCTTGCTGAGATTTCCAAAAATGACTCAGCCACTATTCATGTCATGTGAGAGTGAATGAAGACAGCATCTTCCAAGGGGACGTCTCCAGGTGTCCCTTCTAGCTGAAGTTTGGATGGGAGCAGAGGCCTCAAGTTTCCTGGCCCCGTGCCTGCTGCCAGGTCTGCTCCTCCTGAGGCTGCTGTCTGCGCTCCCACGGGGCCCACAGTGTCATGGTCGGGAACAGCTGGTGGGGTTCTCTTTGAAGTGGTGGGGAGAGGTGCTAAGTGGGACGTGGAGGAGGGACTGGGGGACAGTCAGATGCTTTCTTGACTGGTCCCCGGGGGTCCAGGGTACCCTGCTTCGGTCATTATTCTTTACCAAGTGCTAGAGGCCTTTAGAAAAGAAACCCTGACTCAGGACAGCCCTTGACTGGATATCTTTTTTTCTTTTTAATAGGAAAAGGGTCTTGCTGTGTTGCCCAGGTTAGTCTTGAACTCCTGGGCTCAAGCCGTCCTCCTGCCTCAGCCTTCCTAGTAACTAGGATTAAAGGCATGAAACTGCTTCTTGGACTAGAAGTCTTGAGACCTAGAATGTTCAAGTTGGGGCTGTCTGCGGCAGCCTCTTCTGCCAGGACGTACCCTTGACTCCAGCCCAGCAACATTGCTCTCAGACTGGCCCCTTGACTGCCACCTCTCCTCATGCTTGGCCTTCTCCTGACCCCATCATTTCTCCTCCCCAGCAGAAAGAGTTAGTCCACTGCTCAGGGTCCCCTCACTTCCATACTCCAGCGCATTCACTTCCTAGCCCGCTCCCTCAGGTTCCTCAAGGATGGGGTTTTCTCATTGTTTCCTCCAGCTGAGATGTGGATGGGCAGGGGTGAGGATGACCAGGTGCTCTCTCCACCCACTCTGCGAGCATCTCACATTTATGCTGCACCGACCACGCATTGCCATAGCAGTCAGGCCTCAGGCTTCTCTGTCAAGGGACTGGGTTCCAGCTGGGGACCCAGGGCTGGCCTTCAGATGGCTCCATGGAGGTGGCAAGAGAAGGTACCCTCCCGAAGCAGCTGCACGGGGGGCCCTGGACCTTCTGGGTGGATTTAGCTCCCTTGTGCCTGACTGGTCAGGCTTCTAGCTTCATTTGATTCTGAGGGTAACTTGGGACCCACTGGGGGTCACAGGACCTGAGAGTGGAGTATCCTAGGGAGGTGTGAGTTGACAGCGGCGGGAAGGAGCTGTTAGTGGAAAGGGCTGGCTGTGGGACCCCACACCCTCCTGGCACAAAGATGCCCAGGCTGAGCTTTGCACCAAGCATCCAGTGCCCTCCTTGCAGCAGGATGGGAAGGCATGGCTCAGTGCAAGGCTCATCTGCCACCAGCCCTTGCTCACAGTAGCCCAGAGCCTAGGGAGAGTCTTCCAGACGGGGCCTATCCTGACCCCTTGTCACCTATCCACTCCTCACTCCACCCATGTGTGGACACCACACCATGCTGTGGCAGACACCTGGCACTGAATAGTGCCAGTTGACCTGCTCTCTCGGTAGACTTTCACTTAAAAAGGTTCTGGGTGTCTCTCTGGGATGTTTGTGACCCAAATGTGTTTTGGCACCAAGACTGGAGTCAGTACTTCAACCCAAAGAAAGTCTGAAATCTGGATCTTTTGTTAGTCACTGGTTTTTCTTTTATTTGTTCATTTGTTTTCATATTTAGGTTTAATTTCTGTTTATTTCCTTCACCAGACTTCCAGTCTGGGCCACACAGACTGACCTGACTTTTGCTTTTCAGTTTTGAGAGTCCTTGCGTTTCCCCCTAACTCCGTTTTTGTTGGTTTGTTAAAAAGGTTTGTCCAGAGGGGTTGCGTTTATCCGGTTTGACAAACGGTCGGAAGCAGAAGAGGCAATTACCAGTTTCAATGGTCATAAACCCCCAGGTTCCTCCGAGCCCATCACAGTGAAGTTCGCGGCCAACCCCAACCAGAACAAAAATGTGGCACTCCTCTCGCAACTCTACCACTCGCCGGCTCGGCGCTTCGGGGGCCCCGTCCACCACCAGGCACAGAGGTTCAGGTGGGTCCTTAAGGCCGCACACACCCCGCCATGGGCAACTGTGCTGAATGGAAAGTGGTGGAATGCTAGCTCCTGTCAGAGAGCCGCCTCTTGGAATCATTTTGCGGCTCCGTACCACCTCCTCCATCACAAAGGTGTCCTGGTGACCGCCGTGTCCTTCCCTTGGGGCTTTGACTTTCATGAGAATCAAAGGTGGCACCAGTTCCTACCACCGACAGGAGCATGGGCAACTAGTGTTCCGATGTGCAGTGTCTAGCAACACGAGAATGGAGCCAGGAGCTTAAAAGTTGGCTTCATATCATGGAGAAAAGATGCCACCTTAGCTGTACTCGGGGACAGCTGGTCTTTGGCCAGAATTCTTAGGCAGGTTTTAAACAGTTGATCAGCAGCCCTGATGCATACCTTTTCCATACACCTGCCTTGCGGAGTCTTTTTTTTCTTTAAGAGATAGGATCTTTCTGTGGCCCAGGCTGAAGTGCAGGGGTGCAGTCACAGCTCACTGCAACCTTGAACTCCTGGGCTCAAATGATCCTCCTACTCCAGCCTCCCAAAGCACTGGGATTACAGATGTGCATCACTACACCCAGCCTGGAGTCATTTTTACATCTGAATATTGTGTGCCTTCTGTTTAGCAGCCCTGTGCTAGAGCGGAGCGGTATTCCCATTCCTTTGTCTTTCCATACTGAAAACGGTACAAGTTGCCAGGATGGAATAGAGCCGAAACAATCTGAGGCAGTCACCTGGACTCCAAGACTGGGTTTGCTCCTGTCTCGGGAGCAGCAGAGATCCCAGTTTAAGGGCCGTTTTGTTTTGCTTTTGTCAAAACCTCAAGAAGGTGGCACAAAGGCATATCTCAGGTGTGATAAGGATTTGACTTTTATTTGCATCAAAACTGAGGCTTCTGAAAAGGTGTAGATATGTTTCAGATCTTCATTGTAAGCAGCGAAGCTAGGTATACCCTGCTTGCTTCCACAAATACCGCTTTGAGAGTTCTCCCTGCTGAGTTACCCAGAGTTCTCAGCTCAGTTCAGATTCCAAAGCTGGCCTGCCTTGGCTTTTCTCATTTAAAGGCAAAGGTGGACAGGCTTGGTGGCTCAGCCTGTAATCCCAGCACTTTGGAAGGCCGAGGCAAGTGGATTGCCTGAACTCGCGGGTTCGAGACCCACCCAGGCAACTTGGCTAGACCTCGTCTCTACAATAAATCAAAAATTAACTGGGCGTGGTAGCATGTGCCTGTAGTTCCAGCTACTTGGAAGGTTGAGGCGGGAGGATCGCTGGAGCCCAGCAGGTCGAGGCTGCAGTGGCCAGGAGTGTGCCACTGCACTCCAGTCTGGGCGACAGAATGAGACTCCAACTCAAAAAAAAGGCAAAGGCTGGGGAGATTTCTCTGGACAGAATTGATCTGGGTTTTAAAATTCAACTTTAGAAGTCTGATAATAAATACAGCTATCATTGCTCCCGATGGGGCAGGGTATGTGGATGGTAGTAGCATTTGGTGAGTTATTCAGTAACCAGGAAGGGAACCAGGGAGGACTGGAGGAGCTGCAAGACTTTGGTCCCAGTAACAAGGATGAGAAAAAAGGAGGAAACCAGAGGAGCCAGCATTTCTGGTTGAGCAGGAAAGTAAGCGACAGAGCAGTCAAAAGGACAAAGTGAGGGAAGCAAGGGGCCAGGAGTGGACGGGAGAGTGAGGAGGGAAAGATTGGCCACCAGAAGGCGGTCTAAGATAAGAGGAGGGGCCAGGCGCAGTGGCTCAAGCCTGTAATCCCAGCACTTTGGGAGACTGAGGTGAGTGGATTGCCTGAGCCCGTAGGCTCGAAACCAGCCTGGACAACTTGGTGAGACCTCATCTTTACAATAAATCGAAAAATTAGCCGGGCGTGGCAGCGCGCACCTGTAGTTGCAACTACTTGGAAGGCTGAGGCAGAAGGATCACCAGAGCCCAGTGGGTTATTGACACTGGAGTGGCCATGAGCGTGCCACTGCACTTCAGCCTGGGTGACAGTGTGAGACTCCAACTCAAAAAAATGTAAGAGAAGGAAAAAGACCTGGAAGAGTAGGGAGTTTGCACTCAGGGCCTGTCACATCTGGAAGAACCTTGAGACAAAAGGAAGGACCAATTCTCATCAGAGAAGAAAATTGGGGTAGGGACCCTGACTGACAAGGTCGCAGGAATCAGCTGTCAGCAGGAGGAAAACCAACAGACAAGAGTCACTTCATAAGAAAGATAATCATTTAACTAAAGATGGCAAATATTCCCTCAAGTAGTTTTTCGTATATTCACTATGTAGAAATTCAGGAAACTGGCCAGACACGGTGGTTCACGCCTATAACCCCAGCACTTTGGGAAGCCAAGGTGGGAGGACCGCTTGAGCGTAGGATTTCAAAACCAGCCTGGGCGACATAATAAGACCTCGCCTCTATAAAAATAGAAAAAATTAGTTGGGTGTGTTGGTGTGCACCTTGTAGTCTCAGCAGCTCAGGAGCTGAGGCAGAAGGATACTTGAGCTCTGGAGGTCGAGGCTGTGGTGAGCTGGGATCATGCCACTGCACTCCAGCCTGGGTGACAGAGTGAGACCCCGACTCAAAGAACAAACACAACAATTTCAGGAAGCTCTCATAGCTTGCATTCATATTTGAATTCCTCCAAAGTAGCTGTGATATATGGGGGAGCAAAATGTTAAGTAGCACCCTGTACAACTCAGAGTGGGGACAAGGTTGTTTAAAAAGTCAGAGCCTCTTTCCAGTCCTTAGTGAAAATCAGCCTGACTTCCTGTCTTATAGCTACTTGGGGCCTCCCTCCAACCCCTCATCATTGATACTGTGGTCTCACTGTCATTCTAGATGGCCTCAGGACCACTCAAAGCCACCTAAGTCATTTAACCAATTGTCCTGGTATGGGCTGTTTAAAATTATTCTTGTGGTTTTAAAACCATAGGTAATAATGGATCTCGATTCCTCTGTACCTGCCTTGAAGATAACCCTTGGGAGGATCGTGTGAGCCCAGGAGTTGGATACTGCTGAGAGCTGTGGTCACGCCTCTGCACTCCAGCCTGTCCTACAAAAATCACAAAACAAAAAAATAAATAGCCCTTGGGCTAGTGAGCTGCGTGTTGGGGTCTGGTCACTCCTCTTGTGCCTGTTGAGAATCTGTTTGTTTTTTTGTTTTTGTTTTTTGTTGTTGTTGTTGTTTTTGAGTTGGAGTCTCGCTCTGTCACCCAGACTGGAGTGCAGTGGCTGCTCCCGGCCACCGCAGCCTTGACCTGCTGGGCTCTGGCGATCCTTCCACCTCAGCCTTCC